GCGAGACTAACGAACAGCAATTCATTTTTATATAAATATAGATAGACAGCTACACGAAAAAAATCATCAATATTTTCATTAATTGTCATGATAAATTAATTAGGTATATTATGTAAACTAATCATGTAAGCACGTAATAGTACTGAACATTTAGAAGCAGCAGAATCATTTTAAAATGAATATTTCAATGCGTCTTAATCCAGCCGAGTTATAAATACTTATCTATTATGTCAGTTCGGTTGGATAATGCCTTCTCAATATTCAAGCCCACACCGTCGTTAAGTGATTGCCGATTGAATCAGCGAAGGGAATTAAATTTCTAAGTTGAGCAATGAATTGAATCGGAACTTCACGATCGGTCTTATTTAATTGTTATTTATTAACTCAGATAGAAAGTACTTGGTCCGGCCATTTGTAATCCAGTACCTTAATCAAAGTCATTGTCAATTGTAGTTAGTTATACTGCAAAGGAAAGGCTTTTTAAATAATAGGTGAGGGANAACTTCAAACTAGATACGACCTTCAGCAATGAAGAGATCAACTCAGAAGCAGAAGAAGTTATTCGATTTTGACTAGATTATTTACTGACAATTTTATTTCGCGCTCATCTTCTGAACTATTGGTCGTATTTTCGTGGAGTTTTCATACGTAGACGTAAATTAATTTTCACCTAAACCATTAAATCAACTTTGACGAAATGCTGTCGTATGAAAATAGTTTGAAACCCAGGCTTGAAGAAGCAAGAATATTTTCTACTTTTGTTTCTACTTCGGTTTTCCGCCCACGCTGTATAAAGAGTAGTCCACACAGGCGAAGCCAGATCCTGAAAGCGACTAATACAAATATTTTATTATGTAATTGATATATTTCTAATTTTTTGTTTATCCGCTAAATTGTATTATTAATAACGAAATTGAAGGAAGCTCATGAATACTGAAGAATATCTGTTCGCGACGGACATAGATAGTTTTAAAAATAGATAGAAAACATAGTTGTTCGCGACGGACATAGATAGTTTTAAAAATAGATAGAAAACATAGTAAATATACGTTAAAATGGATAATAGAAATGTCCGTAACAGATAAATGAATAGTATGTTAAAATAAGTTAAAGAATAAATAGTTATAATAAGGAAATGTCCGTANCGATTGAATCAGCGAAGGGAATTAAATTTCTAAGTTGAGCAATGAATTGAATCGGAACTTCACGATCGGTCTTATTTAATTGTTATTTATTAACTCAGATAGAAAGTACTTGGTCCGGCCATTTGTAATCCAGTACCTTAATCAAAGTCATTGTCAATTGTAGTTAGTTATACTGCAAAGGAAAGGCTTTTTAAATAATAGGTGAGGGAAGAATTGTCACTTTAGGTATTTTGTACAAGAGCTCATTGTAACAAAGCAATTTCAAAGTTTCGGTTTTATTAATTATTTTTATTTTTTTATTGCTTAGATGGGTGGACGAGCTCACAGGCCACCTGGTGTAAAGTGGTTACTGGGGCCCATAGACATCTACAACGTAGACGCGCCATCCACCTTGTGATATCAGTTCTAAGGTCTCAGTATAGTTACAACGGCCCCGCCTTTCAAACCGAAAGGCATTACTGCTTCACGGCAGAAATAGGCAGGATGGTGGTACCTACCCGCGCGGACTCACAAGAGGTCCTACCACCAGTAATTACGCAAATTATAATTTTGCGGGTTTGTTTTTTATACACCATGTTATTGCTTCACCGTGGAAGCCACGACAACTACATAATATCTCCAAGCTTCGTTTGGATCCTCTTGGAGGGCCTCTTGTGAGTCTGCGCGGGTGAGTACCACCGCCCTGCCTATTTCTGCCGTGAAGCAGTAATGCGTTTCGGTTTGAAGGGTGGGGCATCCGTTGTAACTATACTGAGACTTTAGAACTTGTATCTCAAGGTGGGTGCGCGTATACGTTGTAGATGGCTATGGGCTCCAGTAACCATTTAATACCAGGTGGGCTGAGAGCTCGTCCACCCATCTAAGCAATAAAAAAATTAAAAAAAAGTCCCGGTAAGTCGTAAGCTCATCACGAGCAACCATAGAAAGTTTGAGTAAATTATTGAAACTCTTTATTATGGTTGGTGACATAATTATTTAAAAATCGATTATTGTAAAGTACTTAAAATACATAGTAAGAAGAATAAAAAGGTATTGATTAGATTTCACGCCATTCAATAATCTTACGAAACACCTACTACGTTTTAACTCACATCAAAACTGTTACAGATTTTTATATTCATTTAATGCTATTCAGCATGCGCGCAATATATCTTGTATTTTTATAGCAGAGCTGAGCAAAATGTTAAAATGAGATACTAAAAGGTCATTGGCATACTAATTTTAATCGCATAGCTATGTTACGGATTACATAATTTGTGTCTGTTAAGCTATTCAAATGTTTGTCTATGCATTTTGGTTTTCGTAGTATTTGTAAGCATACCTACAAATAGTTTTGCCGCGTGTATATGATTAGGCGCAATTCACAATTAAAACGGAACATTACGTTTGTGAGATTCAACGCTATTTTAGTACATCATAAAAATCAAACCCGCAAAATTATAATTTGCGTAATTACTGGTGGTAGGACCTCTTGTGAGTCCGCACGGGTAGGTACCACCGCCCCGCCTATTTCTGCCGTGAAGCAGTAATGCGTTTCGGTTTGAAGGGTGGGGCAGCCGTTGTGACTATACTGAGACCTTAAAACTATATCTCAAGGTGTGTGGCGCATTTACGTTGTAGATGTATATGGGCTCCAGTAACCACTTAACACCAGGTGAGCTGTGAGCTCGTCCACACATCTAAGCAATAAAAAAAAATTAAAAAACATCAACATATACATCGTTTTACACTGACTAGAGGTCCCGCAGTAGTCGAAATTCGACTATAATTAATTGCAACTGTAAGTTTGTACATTATTATGATTGTATTTTATACTTCTATAATCACAAATTTCGCCAAGACTACACTATAAAAAATATTAACAAAGACAAACAATATTTAATCTATTCTCAATTTGACAACAGACGTCAAGAACAAAAGTTGGACAATAAATAGTATGCATGCGTGTGTGCGTCAAATACATGGTATGTAGTGTGTGTAATGTTTTCTTTATTGATTCAATGTATCTTTTATGCATTATTTAAAAAAAAATTTAGCATTGTGCACTCCTTCTCTATATTTTCGATAAGTGTGGAAATTTTCATACTCCTCCGTCCGCGCAATTTTCGTAAAAAGGGATACAAAGTTTTTGCTTCACGTATTAATATATAGATGTATATTCAAAAAAAAAAAGTAATGGGCGACGAAATCTTTCTGAAGATTAGAGAGTTAATTGATAAATCGATTTGAAGATATTTATTTCTATTACCGAGGTATGATGGCAATGTACTGATTGTAGCTGGGTCAGATCGCCAAACGATTAGGTTTAGCTCATAGACACAACCCACTGAGTCTCTTGCCGGATCTTCTCAGTCGGTCGCGATTTTCAGCGAACCACTACTCTTGGTAGGGTCAGTATTAGCATTTTTATAAAGTAGAGCCTATGAGCTCACTTCCCGGTCCATGAGTAGTAGGAATAGGCCCTTAGTCTTCCGACGATTTCATAGGAAAAAAAGAACATGTCTGCAAATTCACACGTGGTAGAAGCGAAACCTTTCAACCTGGAGGCTTGAAGATAATTCGAAGAATGTAAAGCTTCAGGACAAGGATAATTGAAAGTTTAAATAATGATCATAGTGATACAAAGTTTGATAATAATTATTTTACATTTTATTCATAAATATTACATAGATTTATTCAGAATGTAATAAGTACGAAGCAGAGCCGAAAGAGAACTACGAATATAAGAAGCACTGTATAAAGTTTTCTATCTCATTTTCGCTCACGTTAAATCTTATGAATTTATGTGTCTGTCTCTTTTTACTGTCGCTTTTTCGTTTCGTCGACTTTTGAATCACAACGATGCTAAAAAAGAATGCAAAATTTGTATGGTGAAATGAAAACATGTTTATATTTTGTAAATTTCACTGTTTATTGTATTACAAATTAAATAGATTGTATCTAATACACTACTTAAACTTTATTTATTCTACACATATCACAATTTTATTATATAGTTGAAAATTTCAAGTCATTCACTGTTCAAATTATAGTCGTTGCCATTTTTGAACTTAGAACTAGTAGTTACTTTGAATTGTATCATTTGATGTTCGTCCCACACGACATCAAGTGTAAGTATCACAACAAGTCATTCACTGTTCAAATAGTCGATGCCATTTTTGAACTTAGAACTAGTAGTTACTTTGAATTGTATCATTTGATGTTCATCCCACACGACATCAAGTGTAAGTATCACAACAAGTCATTCACTGTTCAAATAGTCGATGCCATTTTTGAACTTAGAACTAGTAGTTACTTTGAATTGTATCATTTGATGTTCATCCCCACACGACATCAAGTGTAGGTATCACAATTTAGCTAATATATAAAATTGAAGCTAAAATTGAATACAAATAAACACAGATACATATAATAATCACTGCTTTAGAGTAATCATATCATCGATGGCACATTTAATTCGTAATTGCACCTGTATTTTGAAATGGAAATGAAAATTAAAGACAATGAAATAATTAATTGTCGTTAGAATAGTATAATATTTACATAAAACTAAAAATGTTTTCACTATTTCAAGATTAAATTGAAAGAATTTCTACTGATTCTTCGTTAAAATACATTTCGCAAAATTATCAAAAATGTAAACAAACAAAAAACATACTTGCATTTTTTTTGTACTTTTATAATTTTATACGTTATAATTTAAATGTTCCCAAACGTAATAATAATAATAATTTAAAAGTATTCTCACTTTGTAGCACAACCATTCAGTAAATTGAAGTACAACAAAAATAATATTATATTCGGAATATTTAGTTGTCAATTTCTTAAAATTTCTAATTTCGCAACGCCAAAAAAATATTATTAAAAAATAAACACGGATTTTGTAGGTACTTGCACTTAATTAAAACTTTAGAACCTGCACTTACAGCTTACGCTATACAATCATTCTAAAAAGCACGTGACATATATTCTGCAGACGATCATGTAAATTTAGATGTAATGTAGATTATTCATAGATTGCCAGCAGTGAAAACTGTAAGCTCACTTTGCAACATGTAAATAATGTTTTTTTTATGTTTATGTACACAGAGTTAAACAAAAATAGTGAAACTTGTTCAGTTACATAATGCCGAAAAATGAAGGCGAAACAAAATTAAATTTCATTAAACTATGATGTAATATATTCGAAATGACAATCCGATTTGTTGAAAATTCCACGTTTTCACTTCCCGGAATCTTTAGCTTCGGCTTTTTTACTTTTCTCTTTGTCTTCGTCCGCCATTTTCAGGGGACCGTGTTTCCAATCAGCAGGATAACCGTATTGACGCACGTCATCCCACCACTGACGTTTCCCGTCAGCCCAAATTATGTACACGACGTTCGTTCCAACCAGAACGGCGAAACAAACCCAAAACGCGACACGCCACTGTACCAGGGTTGACTGTGAAATAAATTAACAATTAATTTAAGTATTTTTTAATTTTATTTTTTTAATGCCCTTGTAGGCAGACGAGCATACGGCCCACCTGATGGTGAGTGGTTACCGTCGCCCATGGACTTCAGCAATGCCAGGGGCAGAGCCAAGCTGCTGCCTACCGCTTATTACTCTCCACAAGCCTCGCTTGAAGAAGGACATGTCATAGCGCTCGGGAAACACCGTGGAGGGGAGCTCATTCCATAGCCGGATGGTACGTGGCAAAAAAGATCTCTGGAAACGCACTATGGATGACCGCAGTGGATCCAGGTAGTATGGATGAACTCTACTCCGGTGGCGGGCGGTGCCATGGTAAAAACGAGATGCCGGTATCATCTCGAACAATTCCTCAGAGCACTCCCCATGGAACATACGGTACAAAATACAGAGGGAACCGAATTGTTCATCCTAAACAAATTGCTACTACTACTAATGTGACCACAATCGAGAAATTTCCTGGTGAAAAATCCATTAGTCACCCTGGTCTTAAGAACAAGTAAAACAAATAGTATAAAGTAAAACAGTCACGATTTTGCATCTAAGAAATAAGAGAAATTGAATTACAGCACGCCTGGTGTATTTGCATAAGTGATGCGATTCTACAAAGTTTAAAACTAGGAAGTAACCGCAATAAAAAAAAACTACTTAATATATATTCACAAACAAATTCTACGAGAAGGTGATGGAATGAAATATGGTAAAAAACCATTAAGCATAATAAAAACTTATTTACATTTAACTTTCTTTTCACAAGTTCTTAGTGTCAAATCCCTTATCTTTAACTATGATTCTTTAGTAGAAAGCCAGACTTTGCTCTTGATATAGCTCAATGTTCACAGTGGTAATAACGTTGAGATGTTTTAGAACTTCGCAAACAAATTAATAGTAGGTGGGCCGTAAGTTTCTCTGCTCATCTATCGCATTTAAATTGAAATAATATTCAATCTATTTCGTGACGTAGAATTAATAACGTTACGGGCTGTATACAATCTGGAAGGTTCAGAAACTAATTTTCAAAGGTATTAATCGAACTACTCCGACCGAGACTAAATTGTTTCATGTCCACAAGTTTTCGCAGCTTGTCGTGAAATAAATAGGAACGGTGACAGCCTTAAATGTAAAACTTTGACACGGAACCCTGAAGTTGATATTTCCGAACCGGATTCGGTCTAAGCCATGAATTTTACCAGTAACAAGGTGCTTCAAATAAAAACTTTGTTAGAACATCGATTGGAGGCGTCATTAAATTTTCCGATTCGAAAATTGAAAGGAATATTATTACGACTGGATATTTTATTATTGAATTTGATAATTAGAAAAGGTTTCAAACGACATTACGATATTGTTATGAAAGAAATTCAATTTTTCCCGCGATAGGTAGGTACTCCTTCGTGAAGTGTCAATCCATTTTGATAGCTATTGCTTTTGAGTTACTATTAAGCCCCCGTCTTTGGTTTCACTTAAAACAATTTACTTTTAAACTCAATTCATCAATAACCATCTAGAACTTCGACTGATCAAAGCAATCCGATATCAACTATTGCATAGCGCTGTCTTTCCCGTTAGTTTACTCCACGCTTTTCATTCCGCATATCATTAATTTTCTGTATCGCCTCTGCCCAGATAGTTCAAAATACGCGATAAATACTGATCGTTACGTATCTCTTAGAGAGGACAATAGAAGAGGAATTCAAAGTTGATACCTGAATGGCATAGCTCTTTCTGGCGGTCTCAAAGCCCAAAAACCGGGACAATGCTAAAATACAAGGAATCTTTTTTTTTATTGCTTAGATAGGTGGACGAGCTCACCACCCACCTGGTGTTAAGTGGTCACTAGAGCCCATACACATCTACGACGTAAATGCGCCACCCATCTTGAGATATAAGCTCTAAGGTTTCAGTATAGCTACAACGGCTACCCAACCCTTTAAACCGAAACGCATTACTGCTTCACAGCAGAAATAGGCAGGGTGGTGGTACCTACCCACGTCACAAGATGTTCTACCACCAGTAATAACGCAAATTATAATTTTGCGGGTTTGATTTTTATTACACGATGCTATTCCTTCACTGTGGAAGTCAATCGGGAACATTTGTTGAATACGTATTTCATTAGAAAAATTGGTACCCGCCTGAAATCCGAACACCGGTGCATCGCTCAACACGAATGCATCGGATGTCTTTATCCTTTAGGCCATGACGACTTAACTCTACATATTTTCAAAATCTTATAGGTTCCAAATTCTTATCAATATTTGGCTTATCAATATATATAGGGCTGTATCTCCAATTTTAAAATGGAGCACACGGAGCCACCGAACAAAACGTGCATGTAAAGCATTTGTATCTTATCACTTATAACTAGTGGGATGATGCCTTGATTTAAAATCCATTTACAAAACTCCACAGCCTTTCCTAGCAATGCGTTTCAGTGTGACACTCACGTAAACATAGCGTTAACCATCAGTGTATAAAAACACCCACAAGAATCTATATCCATGCATTCAATTGTTATTTCAAAAAAATCTTAAACGGTTTAATTTTGAGCTAGTTTTTGGTTTAAATTGATAGAAATAATTAAACGAAATTAATAAACGCGATATTGAAAGCCGGAAAAGTATTTTTTATCAATCCAACGTTGTTGTGTGAAAAGCAAAGACGGTACATATTATTATAAATAAATTAAAATCTTGCAATCGAATTATTATAAGTTCCGAACGATAATATTCGTAACGTCGCTCTATCCATCAATGACATCCGCTTTGGAATTTTTTTTTGCGTCAGAAAACAATAAGAACCACTAAGAAAACAATAGTATCCAGGCCACTTTAATAAATCTAATGAAAATCCGTTTTTTTTTCTCGTAAGTATACTTACGTCTGGCGTTAATAGCCCAATTAGATACGGCGTGATGATTCCCGATATTGTTGACGTCCCGTTGATCATGGCGGTCAAGGAGCCCGCATAATTCGGTGCCAAGTCTAAAGCATTCACCTGTGCAATTAAAAGGCTTGATACATTTTTGGATTGAAAACAACTTATTAATTCATTTGAAACATTCATATTGGTTCATTCTTAATTTTTATTTACGATACAGAAATCAATTTCAAAGTTTCAGAATAGTTTTTTGAGAGACGAATATGAACCTTTAAGTAAATATAAATAAATATAAATTAAATGAAGGTAAATAAAAATATAAGTTTTCAACAATACTACCAATAATTTTTTTATCAAGTAATAAGATTCTGAGCATACAGTTTTAGACAAAAAACATCATAAATCCATAACTGACGCTGAATTAGCGACTTTCTCTGTTAAACTTTTTCCACTGACAAATGCTTTAATATTTTTTTGTTTATTAAAATATTTCTGGCAATACCTTCATTCCACTGTAGAATCCTCCCATGAGAGCCATAGATGCGATGAAATAGGCGACGGCGGCAAAACGGTCGCAGCCCGCATATGAAGCCAATATGATACATATTGCTGGCCCCGTCGCAGCTGTCGGCAATGAAATACTACATTGGACTTATGAAACTTGTTTGTTTGCGTATTAAATTTTGGGAAGAGCCAACCATTCAGGGCTCTGCAAGTTATTTGTAGCTACCATTATTTTTTATAATATGCCCTACTATATTATTTATGTATTCTGTTGTATATGAATCTATATAAGTATATGCATATTTAATGATACTAGTGGTCCCACAGTAGTCGAATTTCGACTTTAATAAATTGAAATTGTAAGTTTGTCCACTATTATGATTATATTGTCAAACAGTCAAAGACTATTTATTGTATTCGTACTTCTATAATCACAGATTTCGCCAAGACTACACTTTAAACAAATATTACATAATAAAGTCAAACATTATTTAATCTATCCTCAATTTGACCACAGACTATAAGCAATAAGAAAGTTTGACAAAAAACAAATAGTATGCATGTGTGTGTGTGTCAAATACATCGTAGTGTGTGTAATGTTTTTTTATCGATTTAATGTATTTTTATGCATAATTTAGAACAACATTTACAATCTGCAGTTCTTTTTTATATTCTCTATAAATGTGGGAAATTTCATACTCCACCGTCCACGCAACTTTTTCGTGTTTCAAGGTTTTCATGGTATTTATTATTTACAAACTCAATTTGTAGTAAAATATCAAAGTAGACATTTTAGTTATTGAATACAATAGATGAAATTTTTATACGATGTAATTGATGATTAAATCGTGTCATTTTTGATTAAGTATGAAAAATATTAATAAGTGGAAGTATGAAAAATAAATAAAATCAAGCGCTTTTTTGGAAAGCCTCAACTTCAACGCCCATTTAATTGTTACTCTGGGATCTTCAAATGAAATCAATTCTTGAAAAGTAAAGTAACTCCAGATAATTTTATGTTTTTTTTTAACAGGCTAATACAATACCTATAGTCGTATGAATGATCCGGCCGGTCTTAATGGAATGCCAATTCTTTTTCACGCAAAAATCACAGGCCCATCCAAATATAAATGAGCTTATCCACATGGCGAGATACGGAATCGCAGTTAGCGTTCCAGTTGTAGCGATGTTGAATTTAAGAACGTCTGTCATGTATTTCGGTAAATCTGTCACCATTGTGTAGTAGCCCCAGTCGTGACCAACCTGAAAATAATGTTAATTGATATTAAAGTGCAAATTTGCAAATGGCGTCCCAGCTATAATTTGGACAGGCCATACAAAAGCCTATACAAGACGTCAAAATGCTCAGGGTACGTAATAGGTACCCTACCCTTATAAGTCCATAATACCACAAGTAAAATATATTACGTTACCTTTAGCAATTTTACTGGTGGTAGAACGTCTTGTGAGCCCGCACGGGTAGGTACCACCACCCTGCCTATTTCTGCCTTGAAGTAGCAATGCGTTTCAGTTTGAAGGGTAGGGCAGACGTTGTGTTGTAAAAGCTGGGACTAAGAATCTATGATTCAAGATGGGCGGCGGCATTGACGTGCTTGATGTCTATGGGCTCCGGCAATCACTTAGAACCAGGGGGGCCGTGAGGTCGTCCACCCATCTAAGTAATAAATAAAAAAGCCACGGATGGATTTGGCTTGATATGCCAGATGGAATTATGCAAGAAATATCTTACGAAAACGATATCTAAGGCTTCCTTCAGAATAACGTAAATTATGTCGTTCGTGTAACAGTATCGTGGAGTATTGTGTAACCTATAATTATGAATTCTAATAAACGTTTCTACAGAAATCGAGTCCTCCTCCAAGGTCTCGTATTGTGTAAGAATAAACAATGCGAGTGGGAAACGCAATAACTTTACGTCATTAAAATTTGTTGAGAGTTAATTCTAAATTAATTTGCAACATTCAAATAATTATTGATTGAAACGAAGTACAATGTGGCTGTACTTGTGGCTTACTAACTATGGATGATAATTGGATTGCGATTAAATGACACATTTTGATATATATGTATTTTTATCTATGTATTGCCCTTGTAGATACACGAGCATACGGTCCACCTGATAGTGAGTGGTTACCGTCGCCCATGGACTTCAGCAATGCCAGGGGCAGAGCCAAGCCGCTGCCTAACGTTAAGTGTTAAGTACGCCCCAAAAGTCTCGTTTGATATAATTAAAAATACTTTTACGGTTTAATCTTGCATGTATTATTTTCATTTTATTATTTCTAATGTTTGCGTGATTATGGACGATCTATCGATAACGTGCAAACTGCTCTAATGTAATTACTATTTCAATTGAAACAATTACGAACGGTACATAGATGAATTGACTGTGGTCGAATTGTTAAATTGGCCAGTGTACTCTTGGCCACGCAATTATGATGAGATTTGTTACTAAAATGTACCTAAAAATGTACACGACGATACGATTGACGACGAAATGACAAGGAAGGAACGTCCTAAAAATACTTAAATGGACTGTGTGAAATGTAATATGTGAGAGAAGGCAGTGCAGTGATGACGTATGGTAAGCCTGAATGGTCACATGCTGCACCGACTCCATATACTGGGATAAAGACAAGAAAAAGACAGTTCACGAACGACTTGACATTTTTTCAGGTCAGGGTAGCAGGAAATCGCCGTAGCTCCGCCTAAGAGGTACAGGAAGTCGACGGTCAATGTCGGGGCTAAATCGACTTTAGTGCCTTCCGCTTAACAGCCTCCGATGTAAGGGAACCTGACCGATGCAGACTAGGGGAAAGAGACATATTTGCAAGGAGTGCATCTCTCCTGCTACCCTAGTCCCACAGAGCGCCGAAGGGTACTTCATAATATCGATATGCATATCGTCGCGCTTCCATTCATTACTTTTTGTTGTTTGTTTTTGACATTTGTTTTTATAAAATTAAGTGCGCAATTTCTCTTCTTCTCGTCTTTTTCAATATCTTAAGATTGGCGAATGTGTTTGTGTATTGAGTTGTATATTCACCTATAAGTGCTATACAACAAAATAACAGGTTGAAATTAGTTGACTCACAGCAGCGAACAATAATGCCCAAACAGGCACTGATCTGACAATCGCTTTCCAAGGCACGGGGTCTCTGACGCTTTTTGTATCAGCACTCGTTACTGTTTCATTAAGATAATTCAACTCCTCCTCAGAAATATACGGGTGAGTGTTTGGTGTACTGAAGCAAAGTATACTCTGAAATTAATAAAATTTTATTAATGTTCCGATGAATTTTTGAGATCATTCCATCATCGCGTTTTTACCATTGCACTGCCCGCTATCGGAGTAGAGTTCATTCATACTACTTAGAGCCCCTACGTTCAACCACAGTGCTTTTTTTAAGATTTTTTCTGCCATATCCCAAGCGGCTTGGAATGAAAACCCCTCTACGGTGTTTCCTGCGCTACGACATGTCCTTCTTCAAACGAAGCGTACGGAGAGTACTCAGAGTTAGGCAGTGACCTGGCAATGACAGGTCGTATGCTAACCTGCCTACAATCCGGCTATGGAATGAGCTCCCCTCCACGGTTTTTCCGTCTTCGTCGAACAAAGCTTGTATTAAGCGGTAGGCAGCGGCTTAGCTCTGCCCCTGGCATTGCTGATGTCCATGAGCGATGGTAACCACTCACCATCAGGTAAGCCAAGCGCTCGTCTGCTCTCATGGGCAATAAAATAAAATAAACCTTCAAACTACACAACTAAAAATATTAAAAAAGAAAAACAATTAGATTTCTATAAAAAACCCATTCTATTTCTATGTATGTTCGCTCTTTAGCCTTGTTTGGGTAAATAAATTATAATTCATTAGAAAATGTTTTTACTAGAGCAAATTAGTGTATTTATTTACATGAGAAAAGTTCACAATGTAAAAAAATACAGGTATAAATATCAGTCTCATTGCGAACTGGTTAAGCGCTGAAATATATATTATTTGATTTTTATATTTTGATATTTTATTAGTAAGGGCTCGCTAACATATTTAAAAATTCCCCATTTTCAGCTCAGTAATTATACACTGATGTTCTTTTCAATTAAATGCTTTCATAATAGATAGATTTTTATATCGACTTACCCAAGCCACGAACCAGAGTACACCAAAGCATCCGAAGAAATAAAACACATTAGCCCAATCACCATCTCCAGCCATCAAGAATCCTGACATGAAAGAACCGAATATATTCCCTATTTGTGCTCCACCAAAGACCAAAGCTCCTTGCCGTGATCGTTCATGGGGTGGAACCCATCGAGCTAGTACTATCATCAGAGCCGGCATTGTTGGACCCTGAAAAAATCATATATTTGCTAATGCAGCAGTAATGCGTTTCGGTTTGAAGGGTGGGGCAGTCGTTGTAACTATACCTGAGACCTTAGAACTCATATCTCAAGATGGGTGGCGCATTTACGTTGTAGATGTCTATGGGCTCCAGTAACCACTTAACACCAGGAGGGCTGTGAGATCGTCTACCCATCTAAGTAATAAAAAAAAATGACTAGAATTATAGCAATTTTTTTTGTGTAATTTTTTTGTTAATCTTTAAGAATCTATAACAAAATATGAACCAATAAAAGATCTTAAAAATAAATTTATTTCGCGATCCGTATTTAATTAATATGTCTCGTCGTGAATTACATAATTGTATTTACACATATTTCGTTGCATAAACTTTTTATTTAAAACTTATATTACGAGTATCAACTTGCAACGATTTATTGGTTTCGCTAATCGTGTCGTACAATGGATTTTTGTTACAAAACCTTGAATGTGCGTGAGAGGGAGGGAGCGAACGCATTGGGCTGCATTCTTCGAATTCGGCATTGATTTGACTGATTACTTCAAATCGATTCGAATTCTAATTCGAGTCCTAATTATCATCGCAAAAATCTTCATCTATATATTAATACGTGAAGCAAAAATTTTGTATCCCTTTTTACGAAAATTGCGCGGACGGAGGAGTATGAAATTTCGCACACTTATAGAGAATATAGAATATATAGGAGTGCAGAATACTAATATTTTATTTAAATTATGCATTAATAATACATTAAATCAATAAAAAAGCATTACACACACTACCATGTGTTTGACACACACACTTAGATATACTCTTTGTTTACTGTCAAACTTTTGTTATTGCATAAAGTCTGTGGTCAAATTGAAAATAAATTATTATTCTTTATCTTTAATATTATTTATCTTTAAGGTAGTCTTGGCGAAATCTGTGATTTTATAAGTATAATTAATCTTTGAGAACAAAATCATTATAATGTTCAAACTTATAATTTCAATTAATTAAAGTCGAATTTCGACTACTGCGGGACCACTAGTACATTATAATGACACATTACAAATTTAGCTAAATCAATAATAATAAAACTCTTTTATGTGTCTTTTTATACGGTCTGCCTTTATAAAACTGTATTGAATGTCTTTTAAAACTCTAATAATAGTCAGGTAAATGAGTTCACGGTCGAAGTTCTGGTCAACGAGTTTTTTTTTTTTCGAGAATTTGATCGACTTCTTTTGTATAAGTAAAGGCAAATTCTAAAAGATTATAATGATGTCACGGCTAATTCAAGACTTAAGTAGTTGCATTAGTACTTAAATGAGTTACATTATTGCTTATCCGAATTTGTTTAAGTAAGATCCGGTTGAATAGCATTACTCGTGACATTGTCGTATAATAATATACTGTAACAACTTATAGGTGGTGACAAGATTTAAAGAATGAAAGTACATTGGACCGGTGAAGGGAATGGTAACGCGTTTCCCTTGAAATCAATGTAATTTTGTGAGTAGTTCAATTAATAATATCATGACTTCAAACATACTTTTTTTTCTTTATTTCTTAGATCTTTCTTTTTAAAAAAATATAGTTCGCTTTTTTATGTTCGTTTCATTGTTACTCGGATTTTTTGACATTTACAGTTGGTACATATTACTTTGCAATAATCTAATTATTAAGAAGAAGATATACTCGTAACAAGAAGTCATAATAATAATATTACTTTGTATAAGCTTACGCAAAACAAATCAATATCAAGCGTATTATTACAAATACTATTATTTGTCCCATGTACTGGACTATTTATATCTGTTGCGAAACAGTCAATAATTCCGGCCTCAAAGATGCTAACTTACAATTTCGACTTTATGTCTCAAGGTGAGTGGCGGCATTCGTGCTATGTCTAAGTTTTCTTTTATTGCTTAGGTGGTTGGACGAGCTCACAGAGCACCTGGTGTTAAGTGGTTACTGGAGCCCATAGACATTTACAACGCCACCACCACCGCCATCCACCTTGAGATATAAGTTCTAAGGTCTCAGTATAGTTACAACGGTTGCCCCACCCTTCAAGTCGAAACGCATTAATGCTTCACGGCAGAAATAGGCGGGGTGATGGTACCTACCCGTGCGGACTCACATGAGATCCTACCACCAGTGAGCTTCGGTTAGTACTTAATAGTCGTCTCGTTTAGAATAAACAATAAAAGTAAATGACAAATGAAATATTGTTCTTACCTCACCCATTCCTTGTAATACTCTCAAAATGAATAGCCAAGTAGCTCCCCCAGCTTTCACAACTACGGGCGTCATGAGCGTGAAGATAGCTGTACTCAGAAGACCTATTCCCAAAGTCCATTTCCCTCCGTATTTTTCCGCCAAGTATCCTCCAGGGACATGAGTTATAGCGTATCCATAGTAAAACCCGCTGAGTATCAGGCCTTGTGTTGATTCGGACCAATCGAATATAGCGTACTGAAATAAAATATAAATTCTTATATAGAATCATTAATTGGGTTAAACATTTGACAAACATTTCTTAAGCATTTGGTGGTAGGACCTCTTGTGAGTCCGCGCGGGTAGGTACCACCACCCTGCCTATTTCTGCCGTGAAGCAGTAATGCGTTTCGGCTTGAAGGGTGGGGCAGTGCTGTTGTACCTATACTTGAGACCTTAGAACTTATATCTCAAGGTGGGTGGCGCATTTACGTTGTAGATGTCTATGGGCTCCAGTAACCACTTAACACCAGATGGGCTGTGAGCTCGTCCACCCATCTAAGTAATAAAAAAATAAAATGCAAAGTCTTATAGTATTTTATTAAATAATGTATGTACGTGTTGCAGCAAAAAAAAAATCAAACATCACGTAAAATGTCTTGTAATATTTAGAAGGAATAGTAATTGAGCTAAGATTTTCCAAAAAAAAATGTTTTGCATTATTAACGGCCGTCTGGTGTAGTGGTAAGTGACATGGTCACTACACAAGGGGGTCGCGGGTTCGAATCCCGCCAAGGGAGGATATTTGTATAATAAATATAAATGTCTTTTCCAGGGTTATGGATGTATATTAAATATGTGTATGTGCATAATAAAAATCTTACATTTATTTCCGTTATCTGGTACCTGTAACACAAGTTCTTTACGAACTTATCACGGGATCAGTTAACGTGGCGTGACTGTTAGTAAATATTTATTTATTTATTTATTTATTTATTATACGACTATATTAAAATTACAGTCGACGATATGACGTAATCATCAAAGCTTTTTAATTCAATCACAATCTTACTTTTGTCATGTACGTTAATTAACCAATTACGTAAACTGCATTAATTTAATTACTCAGTTGTTCAATTATAAAATTTAAAAGTACAGTAATGTTTCGCAGTGTTTCATTAAAATTTTACTGTACAACACTGATTTTAATTAAGCCGTAATTTTAAACGCGATAAGCTTTCGGTCCCGGTGTTGACAGGAACGCCGCCAATGAGGTCATTGACACATAAAGTCCAAGTTTTAATAATACAGAGCAAAGTTTCACTACACTTAAAATCAAAACAAATGACTGTTTTGCAGAAATCAATAGGACTGAAGCCACGCATAACACACTATAATAATAACATAGTTATTTATTTCTTTATTGCTTTGAAGCCACCTGATAGTAAGTGGTTACCATCGCCCATGGACATTAGCAATACTAGGGGCACAGCCAAGTCGCTATCTACCGCTGAGTACACTTCGCAAGCCTCGTTTGATGAAGGACATGTCATAGCGCTCTGGAAACACTGTTATTAAGTTTTTACATTTTTTTCTCTAATGCTTAGATGGATCACTATGCTTCAGGCCCTCCTAGTGTTAAATGGTTATTAGAACCCATGAATACCATAACATGAGTCCTGAGCTCTAAGTCTGAATTGTATTGTATAACGGCTGTTCCACACATCAAACCAAAACGCATTTCGCGTAGATTTTTTTTAATGGGATTTTATGACCTGGTAACTAAGACCTTTAGGTCATGTTTTACTTTAATTTATATTCTTATTTTTATGAAAAATGATAAAATGGAGTGAAACGAAATGAAGATGATTAATTTGAGACATTAATCAACTAGGATGAAATAAAATGAAATGAGATGAGATGATATGGGATGAAATATAATCTCAGTAAAATGGTGGTCATTGACTGAGATTTTTTCAGTGGACTTTTTGGAGGATCCCGAGAAATTACGTCCAGCGACTTTGTTTCATTTTCCCACATTTGTACACTTTCACAGATATTAAACAGTCAATAAACCACCGTTATTACACATTTAAACCTGAAGAAACACTAAATAGACAAAATAAAACAAATCACACAACTTCACTCATCGCGTTCCCGCCAAAAAGTCCTCGCGTCAGAAATTGACACGTATTTGCTGTCTACGGACGCTGGCTTACAATACTCCTTAACACTAGTCAACTGATCTCAACCTACCGGTTTCAAGCTAACTGTTCCGTTGGTCAGGATTTCGCTGTCGTCAGGACACGCGTCAGGATCAAAATGCGCGTCTTCGTGCTTCGTTGTATTAACCATTTGAGTGACGGCCAGGTTGAGGCAAACTCGCATGGTGTACGCGTTGCACACAGCCAACAGACCCATGATGCCCAAGACATACCGCTGGGGAATTAGGAACACTGGAGGAAATGTTTTTATGTAGTGATTTAGTATTTGTTTTCAGTCAATATTGTGAAATACATAAATATGAAGATTTGTGTGAAATTTTTAATGCTTTTCTAAATTATTCACCACTGAGACTCTTGAAACCTTAATCTATTACTACAAAATATTGTTGCACGGTTTTCATTGATTTCTTGGTGAATCAAGTCAGCAATGAAAATTTCACATAAATAGTTTTTCACATTCTAACCGTAAAATTTCATGCATTTTTATTCTCCGATTTATTTTATATCCAATATAAAACTCTCATATAAAAATGTATTGATATCTTCATTCTTTTATTACTAATACTAATTACAATAAACAAAAATATTCAAAAGAATCGCATTTCTCGGAACTAATCTGACGCTATCTATATTTCCTTAATAGTATTATACTAGAGACCTTCAAACGTCAAAAACAGTTTCAACTCCTTCCGATAAATGATGCGAGAAAACATCATCATGATATCATCGTATCATGATATATTAAACAACATTTATTTTTACATATCACTAGTTAAAACCGCTGTGACTACGAGTATAGTGTGAGAAATTGGTAATTTTTTTTGAGAATGCATTACAAAAAACATCAGTCACACCAATCGAACCATTCTTGGGTGATGTAATTCAGAATAAGAAAGCAACGATGACATCAAAGTATAAATGACACCTTAGCAACATCAAGGATCATTTGAAATTGACATTGGATAAACGAAAATCGAGATAAATCATCAAGATTAAATCTCTGAACTCGATAAGATACTATTGAGAAGACATTATAAGCAAGAAAACTAAACCGCGGATTTGTATGTATATCTTAATTTTTTATATTCAAATGCTTAAGACTCGTTTTATTAACAGTAGGCCCAGATTGATCAAAACATCGATTAACATACTTTGTCCTTCTCTAGCGGTACAATCAAACACGAATGTTGATGATAGAGTTTTCTAGAAACATTCATCTGTGTTTAATATTCAGTTATTGTTACGGTATCGTGATTGTCATTGACAAGTAATTAAAACTATAGTTTTTATTTTTTTCTAATTTATTTTACGACTTAGTCAAGACGCACGAATGAGTAACTCTATCGCGATTTAAGCTGGCGCCTTAACTATCTTGTCTTATGGCGTCTATGAAGACCATTCTTAATGTCTCTAATAACTTAAGGAGAAGAGTAATTGTTTAATAGTTCTTAAACCACGTGACGTATTCTCTCTTCTTTACTACATTAGATCGGAGCCCATAGCTCCAATCACGTCGAGTCCCAATTGTGGGCCCTACCTTTCAGACCGCCACACATTAGCTAGCTAGCGTGACTGCAGAAATATACAAAAGTGGTAACGGTATGTGAAGCACACAGTTCAACTCACCAACAGTAATTTTATTATGACAATAAAAAAATGGCGTTTATTTTTTCCCTACACAATGTTTTTTTTTTAATCCAAGTCATTGATGATCTATGCAATAAATAAGTGAATAACCGATTGACAACATATGTACCGTACCACGTCAATGTAACTCGAGTGAATAACAAAAAAAATATTTTATTATGAAATACTTACATCTCGATACAGTTTTCCTCCATCGTGATATCATTTCAGCGTTCTGGTAACACTAGCGTATTACTTTATTACCTGGAAATTAAAGAAGGGAATTCACATAGGCCATATTATTGCTATATCTTGTTGAGAGTTAAGCAAATACAATAACAGATAAAACGATGATGTACTAAAGATAAGCGTTGTAACTAGGACTTTGAGTCTTGAGATTAGTTTCTTCATAATACATACAAATGTAACGGTTTTACAGTATGTTATGTTATTTATTAATACATTTTACCCTATTTCCTAAATGTAATTTTATCGTTTTTTTTTTCTTGAGAGACTAAAAGATAATATCTAAACTACACATGCCAAATACGTTTACTTAAGATGCTAACTCCAGCTGGGAGTAATTTTGAGCCCCTAATAATAATAATAATAAAGCCCTTTAATTCCGAACTACAACCATGAAATTAAAAATTTTTTTTAATTTTTTTTTACATTTTATTTCTTATAGTATATCCCGGAGTTCGGCGTGCCTCGTGGCATAGGCCTCCTCCAGCTCTCTCTATTGGGCTCGGTCCTCTGCAACTCTGGTCCAGTATGGTCCTAGGGTTAGGCGTATATCATCACTCCATCTCGTTTTTGGTCGCCCCTGTCTTCTGGTGTCCCCTCTTGGATACCATAAAGTAACTTGTTTACTCCACTTGTTTTTTTTGCAACGTAGCATATGTCCTGTCCAACTCCATTTAAGATTTTCTATACGAGTTATTATATCCGTTACTTTTGTCTTCCTTCTTATTTCCCTATTTCGAATTCTGTCACTAAGTCTGATACTCAACATGCTTCTTTCCATTGCTCTCTCTGTTTTAGCAAGTTTTTCTCTATGTTTGTCAGTTAGTGTCCATGTCTCACATCCGGACCAGTCTCACTCTCACTCTTTCAAGGACCAGTATTTTTTCCAACCGCATGCTATTCTTTTGTTTATTTCCTTGGACATGGAGTCTTCAGAAGATATAATTTGTCCTAGGTAAAGGAATTCCTTCACATATTCGAACTTGGTTCCGTTTACCTCTATGTTCCTTTCTGTTGAGTTCGTCATTAGTTTCGTTTTATCTGCATTAATTTCTAGCCCTACTTCTCTGCTTTTTTCTGCTATTTCTTTAATCATGTGTTCAAGTTTCTTAGGATCTTCTTCTAGCAATTTTGAGCCCCTACGGTACACTAAAAATAATGGCTGAGAAAGGACTTCGTCCATCAAGCATAACTTAGCGTAATAAAAGGTACTATGTCTGCTATCTAAGCTTATTCCTTTCGCAACGGATTATTACCTTATTGTTTTAAAATAACAGAGTACAACTAAAACTTCGATTTCATGTTTCAAGAAGATAGTGACTCGTAGATTTAGTGTCTCCGAGTTTTGGTAATCACTAAACGTGAGCATGATAGGTATAAAATGTTTTTTTTTTAATGATGTCTATTGTATTTTATTGAAAGAGTTTTAGGCTTATATAAACTTTATTGTTTTAAATCAGCTTAAAATTACGGCAAATACTAATTTGTAGTATTGTATACATATATTATTATGTTTTATTTATTTTATAAATTTAGAAATATCCGAAAGCTCTATCTCATTTAGTGGTGATTTTAAACTGTTTTTCTATTTATTTTATTATATATATTATATATTTATTAAAACACTTTCAGGATACCTAAAACTGTATATAATCTTGTTGCTTAAAAGCCCAGTGTACTGCAATTGAGCGATGCTAGTATGCCGGTACAAATCATTGTTAACGCAAATCCTGTAGGTCCATATCGATATTTCTCGATATTTCCCGATATTATATATCGATATTTCTTCGATACAATACGTATTTCACACATATATGATGTATGGTTCGGAAGTCATTTTATTACATGATAATCCTTCATCGTAAGCTCGGCAAAAAAAATTATTACAATATTAGGTGGTGGCCTATATAGTGTCCTGTGAGCTCGCACAGGTAGATACCATTATACCAGTTCCTCTGCCACACAATAGTAATGCGTCCATCAGACCCAATAAATCTGGTATTCGACACCTTCAGGTCTAACATCAGGAAAAGGCTTAGGGACCCCTGTAGCCGTGCTCGTCGAACTCGGCAAAGAATCCGACGTGAAATCTAACCCATGCATCAGCCTGCTAATTTTCCCGCCAGATCATCTCAGCGAGCCGCGATTCCGATCCCTTAGTAGATTCATTCGCAAAGCAGCTGCTCTTGAGTTGTAAGGTAGTCCTTTGGAGGCGCTCGGCTAGCTGTTAGCTAATCCCGTTCTTTCTGGCTGAGCCTTTCGCCCACCTGTCCTGATGAAACTGGGAAGGCCTACGGGCCACCGTTCGAGTTTGGAGCTCGGGATAGCCGTAATACAATTGAAACTTAAGCCTCAGGTCTCAAGGCAGCCTTCAATGTGTGATGTCCATGATCCTTGGTAATTATTTACCACCAGATCGGTCATGAGCTTATGAGCACGTTCATTCATCGTTCAATCTAATGAACTCGGTATTAAATAGCTCATACTTTTTTTTGGTGCGGTAAAATTCCGAAGAAATATGTGAGAATTATTTGCACAATTCGATGCGGTATAGCGCTTTTGTTATCACAATTCGCTTTATCTCACTACGTATTCGAACGTCCTCACAATGCATGATGTACATATGTACGTGTCCATTAGGAAGCCAAATGTATCTAACTGGTCATGGTCAAAGTTTTAAGAGTTCGTCTCAGCGACTAGCTTAGATTAGAGCTCAAAACAAATCTACAAAATTCAGTTGAAATTATTAATTCTAAAATGATTTCTAACTTCATATCCTATGAATCAAGTTCTGTGAAAAATGTATATAATAAATTGTGACTTCTATTCATATAAAGCAACAAAGGGTTTTACGCGCAATAAAAACACCAACATTGGAATTTTAATTAAAATTCACAGTTATTTGAAAGCCGCAAAGTAGTTAAATTGAAATGAAAATGATAGTGCATTGTTAAAGAATATCCAATTGTAATCTATGGCAAACAATAAATAAATAAAATAAATAAATATTTACTAACAATCACGCCACGTTAACTGGTCCCGTGATAAGTTCGTAAAGAACTTGTGTTACAAGTACCAGATAACGGATATAAATGTAAGATTTTTATTATACATATATATTTAATAGACAACCATAACCCTGGAAAAGACATTTATATTTATCATACAAATATCTTCCCTTGGCGGGTTTCGAACCCGCGACCCCCCTGTGTAGTGACCATGTCACTTACCACTACACCAGACGGCCGTTAATAATGATTCCTCATTGAAAGTTTTTATGTGATTGTATTGTACGCAGAGAGGAAGTTTTAAGATAGGGCTACGTGATGGGATTAACCCCTTTGCTAACAGATACCTTTTTTTTGGGCCCGGGTTTCAATTGCTAAATCATTACCCCACGCGCATTGGAATGTATGTGATAGTCGAACCCAATATATAAAACCCCATCAATTTACCATCTAAGCATTCGGTTCCCTTGTTGAGTAAGACTTCAAAAACAGCAGTTATAATGCGTGTATAATAGCTAGCTTTTGAAAGTTAGTCGGCACGTTACGCCGAACCTTCAGGCATCTTTGACTGCGGGTATAGTTGCTAATAGTTATTTTAAGCCCCATTTTGATCGTTTGAAGAGTAGGAAAGTTGTTATGACAATTTAACTGACACATAGACTTCATGTTTTAAAGAAAGTGGCAACGTTAATATTGAGGTGTAAATAGTTGTCCATCTACAGCATTGAATTATGGAAGCTACTGCAATTAAAATGGTATTTCTTATAATATATATTTTATTAATTGCAAGCTTCGGAAATCTCATTTAATCTATGTTGTCATTATTACTACCTATATGCTATTCATAGATAACTAATTTACATTTTTTTTAAACATTTACGTAAGAAAGACAGTCAGAATTTTCTAGATTTCGCAACATGACTATGCGTCAGGCATAACACATTTTGAGCGAAAATAATTAATTACTTTGTATTTAGTTTAGCTTTATTTTAAAAGAAATAATTTTGAAAATGTGTTCATAATTGAAAAACATTGCGAATTGAACATAGGTTTTTTAAACATACTTACTAAATGCTGATGTTTTTGATGTAGGTGAGCTCTCGGGGCTCAAACTAGGAGGTGTTGCTAACACTGGCCCTAGCAAGAGCAGTGCTTCGCAGAATCTACCACGCGGATCGGAAACGCGACCCACTGAGAAGATCCGTCGAGAAACTCAGTGGCCTGTGTCAGTGGGCTGGGTTAGTTTACTAACCGAACCCTTCGTCGCAAGCGATATATAGTTATATACAAACTCAACACGTATATGGGTCCACTCTATGCACTTATTTCAAATAATGTGCAACAATCCTAATTTCTATCTCTCTTTTATAGATCACGTTAGAGTTATCTATTTGTGTTTACAATAGTAGAAGCTAAAAGTAGATAGCTACTCTTACTGTTTTACCCACAGCCCTTAGCTTATACGAAGTATAAAATGACCACGGAAAGAATATGAAGATTAGTACCCTGAAAATACTTATAATTATATTCAGTAATGTTGTTCGAACTAAATAACATTGTATGCAATGTTACATAATTAAAATCTAATGTACTAGACGCCTTAGTTTCATATTGTTGGTCCATAAAATAGAAAGCTATTTAAGTGACAAGTTGCTTAGCAAATAATAATATGTATTATGTCCCATTTACGTATGGCATTACGTTATTGCCGTATTGGCGTCGAAAACGGTCCCTTGTACGCTCTACAACAGCCGGGAACAAAGCAATCTAACTCACACAATATGAGGTCATTAGCATGACTCAAATTTAATACGACCCGACAACGGCTTACGAAAATTAATTGCAAACACGAGCCTTACAAATTGTAGAGTTACTCATTATTTTCGACCATTCCGTAGATTAAACACGTACGCACTACGTAGTTACTTTGGATTTTAAAATCAATTAAAAAAATATGTACAATGAGCCTTGGTAAAGTAAACAAAATCTTGGCAAAATCCTGCAGTGGGC